TTGTATTTATATATTCTGTAATGTCTATGGTAATATCCGTAAGCATTTCCTTCCATTTTTGGAGAGAAATACCTCGCTCACGTTAGAAAAAAAAAAAAAAAAAAAAAATCAGAATTACAGTGAATGTAAAATTTTAGGAAAGGCCTTTGAACTCCTCGTATGAGTCAGAGATACTGAGATACACGCACGGTTGGAAAATCCCGTTACGGCAAGTACCCCCATGATGCCACCAGTAACATCTAAATAAAAAGTCAGGAAATAAATAAATAAACAGTCCCAGTTTGGTTTGGAACTTCAAGGGGATTCGTCATCATTGCCCCGTTCCCTGTGGGGCAAAAGATTTGCGGTAGGTATATGAGAAACCGGAGCAAAGGGGTGGAGAGCACTATTTCCGTTCTCACGGATTCTAATTCTAGGTCATTAGACGATATTTTGGAAATTTCAGTAGAAGAAGGGTGTGAAAGAAATTCGGTGACTTATTTGTGCAATTTAGATACAGCAAACGAACAACTATTTGAGCTGAATACGACCACACTGGACTTGCGTAATCGATTCTTAGGATAATCGATTCACGAGAATCATCGATTTTTCATATTTAAAAAGAAGCGACTGTTTCAAGCAAACAATTATAAATGATATTTCAAGAGTTAGGAAAGATAATTGTTAAAATAAGAAACGTAAATTTTCTCCAAAAAAATTAAGAGTACGCCATTCGGAATAATACGAAATTATATAGTTCTCCCATTCAGTAAAATTGCAAAAATTAAGTTCTTGTGAAGAAAAATTAATAAATTAAATAAAATTATTAAAAATAATTTAATAAAATAAATTAATTCTGTTGTCAATAAAATTAACGTTTCCAAATTATGGAAACAATTAACTCTTCAAGAATATTCAAACGGAGAAAAAAGATTCGAGATTTTAGATCTCAAATTTTTCAAAATTTATAGAATTTGAGGAAGCAAGATTCGAATGCCTCATGCTTACATGTAGCTATTGGTACTCGCCCGTTGGTTCATCCTTACTATTGGTATTCTCTTGTTAGACAGCGCCCACCAGCGGCCGAGCGGTAAAGTCGCTGAACACTGGTAGTTCGGTCCGAGGTTCGAATCCCGCGAACGGGCTGGCTGCATGGGTGTTTTCGTGGTTTTCCCCATGTGTAACGTGTATACGAGCCAGTTTCCCTTAGAAAGTCCTCCACGAAGGCATCCCTCCTCTTAGGCAAATAGCCCTAGTGTGTTTTGCCATAATTAAATACACCATACCTTGTTAGACAGCAAGATTCGAATGCCTCTTTTTACCTGTAGTTATTGGTAACTGCTCGTTGGTTCATCCTTACTAATGGTATTCGCTCGTTAGACAGCAAGATTCAAATGTCTCATCCTTCGTCGTAGCTATTGGTATTCGCTCGTTGGTTCATTCTTACTACTGGTATTCGCTCGTTGGACAGCAAGATTCGAAGTCCTCACCCTTGGTTGTAGCTATTGGCATTTGCTCTTTGGTTCATCCTTACTATTGGTGTTCCCTTGTTGGAAAGCAAGATTCGAATGCCTCATCCTTACATGTAGCTATTTGTATTCGCTCGTTAGTCCATCCTTACTATTGGTATTCTCTTGTTAGCCAGCAAGATTCGAATGCCTCATTCTTAGTTGTAGTTATTGCTAATTGCTCGTTGGTTCATTCTTACTATTGGTATTCGCTCGTTGGACAGCAAGATTCGAAGTCCTCATCGTTAGTTGTAGGTATTCGCATTTGCTCGTTGGTTCAACCTTACTACTGGCATTCGCTCATTAGATAGCAAGATTCGAATGCCTCATTCTTAGTTGTAGTTATTGCTAATTGCTCGTTGGTTCATCCTTACTATTGGTATTCTCTTGTTGGACAGCAAGATTCGAATTCCTCATTCTTAGTTGTAGTTATTGGTAATTGCTCGTTGGTTAACCCTTACTAGTGGTGTTCGCTCATTAGACAGCAAGATTCAAATGCCTCATCCTTTGTCGTAGCTATTGGTATTTGCTCGTTGGTTCATTCTTCCTACTGGTATTCGCTCGTTGGACAGCAAGATTCAAAGTCCTCATATCCTTAGTTGTAGCTATTGTCATTTGCTCTTTGGTTCACCCTTACTATTGGTGTTCCCTCGTTGGACAGCAAGATTCGAATGCCTCATCCTTACATGTAGCTATTTGTATTCGCTCGTTAGTTCATCCTATTGGTTTGTACTATTGGTATTCTCTTGTTAGCCAGCAAGATTCGAATGCCTCATTCTTAGTTGTAGTTATTGCTAATTGCTCGTTGGTTCATTCTTACTACTGGTATACGCTCGTTGGACAGCAAGATTCGAAGTCCTCATCGTTAGTTGTAGGTATTCGCATTTGCTCGTTGGTTCAACCTTACTACTGGCATTCGCTCATTAGATAGCAAGATTCGAATGCCTCATTATTAGTTGTAGTTATTGCTAATTGCTCGTTGGTTCATCCTTACTATTGGTATTCTCTTGTTGGACAGCAAGATTCGAATTCCTCATTCTTAGTTGTAGTTATTGGTAATTGCTCGTTGGTTAACCCTTACTAGTGGTGTTCGCTCGTTAGACAGCAAGATTCAAATGCCTCATCCTTTGTCGTAGCTATTGGTATTTGCTCGTTGGTTCATTCTTCCTACTGGTATTCGCTCGTTGGACAGCAAGATTCAAAGTCCTCATCCTTAGTTGTAGCTATTGTCATTTGCTCTTTGGTTCACCCTTACTATTGGTGTTCCCTCGTTGGACAGCAAGATTCGAATGCCTCATCCTTACATGTAGCTATTTGTATTCGCTCGTTAGTTCATCCTATTGGTTTGTACTATTGGTATTCTCTTGTTAGCCAGCAAGATTCGAATGCCTCATTCTTAGTTGTAGTTATTGCTAATTGCTCGTTGGTTCATTCTTACTACTGGTATACGCTCGTTGGACAGCAAGATTCGAAGTCCTCATCGTTAGTTGTAGGTATTCGCATTTGCTCGTTGGTTCAACCTTACTACTGGCATTCGCTCATTAGATAGCAAGATTCGAATGCCTCTTTCTTACTATTAGCATTCGCTCGTTAAATAACAAGATTCGAATGCCTCATCCTTACTTCTAGCTATTGGTATTCGCTCGTTGGTTTATCCTTACTATTGGTATTCGCTCGTTGGACAGCAACATTCGAATGCTTCACTCTTAGTTGTAGCTATTGGTATTCGCTCGTATTACGGATTCTTATTGTGCTTTCAGTTGCTGTATGGCTTAAATGGAATTCATAAAACAAGCAACAACCTAGAAGATCGTCAAATACTCAAGTTCGACCTCCGCGTATACTCAAAATATGGAATGCCTTGGAGCATGTTTAGGTTTGCCAAAAAAAGTATTCTCGTTACTTTTCCTTCAAATCAATAGCAACAATTTGTAGAGACATTAGTTTTTTATATCCTGGAGACAAGAAAAATGAGCAGTGTCTTCCCTGGGACTCGAACCTGGACCTCACGAATACGCGCCCAGTGTGCTACCGTTACACTACGAAGGCATGGGGGATGCAAGGAGAAAACATCTTATATACTACCCCTTTTAAAGGGCGACTGAGGATGAGGGAATCCAATCGTCAAATCCTGGTGGTGACGAATTATCGTCCATCAACGTTCGGGCTCAACTGTAGAGTCATTTAGTTTTTATCATTCCCTTGATGCTGGAGACATGAAAAATGAGCAATGCCCTCCCCAGAACCCTTGAACCTGGACCCCTCGAATATGAACCGAGTGTGCTACCGTTACACCACGAAGGCATGCTGGACAGAGGGAGAAAATACCGTATAAACCTTAGTTAGTTTAAGATGATATATCAGTGAAAGAATGTCAAGCTGTGATAAACCCTTTAGAACCTTTAAAAATTCCAGCTTATTCTAATACTTTTTGTTTGTTTGAGAAATTTTTGCGTCGAAAATTTATTTGAGGTTCATTTTTCTTTTTTATGCAATATCCTTTCATATTCAACTTCCGCTGCTGCCTTCTAATTTGAAGTACACACTTTTGAATAATCAAAATAATCTTAAAGACCACTGTAAAAGACATGAATTTACAGAAAGGAAATATTCAAAATTCATAGTCTCAAAAAACTAAATAATTATATTCCTAACTAAATGATTATGAAGAGAAAATAGTTTAAACACGATATTTGCTCTTGGAAGTCAAGAATCATAAAAGCATTGAGAGTGGAATAAATATTATTTATAAATTTTCATTAAATTTTAGGATATTTCATTGCTTGTTAAGCAAAAATTAACAAAATGGAAGATTATATACAATAATTATCCGATTTTATTAAATTTTAATTGACTGAAGTTGGATAATAAGCAATCCCATATAAAATGCTTATTAGAACTGCTTTATAAAAATTTAACAAATGTTATTCTCAAGAAAACTAAAATGCTTTATAAACATTTTAGCTTATAAACTTATAAAACGAAAAATATTTACTGGAATTCATTTACATCCCCTAACATGAAAACTTTTTTCAAGTTCCTGCTAAATCACAAAACTCTCGTTTCAGTTTTTGCTCTGATCTTATGCTTTCAAATTGTTATAGATAACTTTCAAAGAAATAAAAATATAAAATTAAATTAATTCACACAAATTTAGAATATTGGGAATAGACCGAATTTTAACAATAAGTTGCCAACCCTCAGCATCAAAATAAGGTATAGTTTTCAGGGAAAAATGAAATTTCTGTACCATAGTAATGTAAAATATGCATTGGTGTTACAAACAAGGAATTTTCAAGCTATCTGAGCAAAAATTTTCAAAAGCTATATATCCAGATGAGGTACATGATTATAAAATAAGCTTAAAGTTGGGGATAAGTATCCATTTCATAAAACATGGTTTAATACTATTAAATTATACATGTATTTATTCTTTTCCCATTTTTTTCGCCCATGATATTTATGTACCATCCTTAAACCCAATAAAAAAAGACCTCACTCAAAAAGACTCACCTAATTTGATCTAATCCGTGACGAGAGCTGCGTAAACTGAGGACTTTTGAAAGCATACAAACACATGTTTTCTCTCAAGATCAGTTTTGTGTTTGAGAAGACATCTTTCGCTTTAAAATTTTATTTATAGGTGTGTTTGCCTCTTAACGTTCCGTGTGGTCAATCACACAGCACGATCATATTGACCACATAAATCTTGAATATCCTCCGCTTCACTACCTTCAAGCCAGCAAATAGGGTAAAAGCTACAAATAAAAGGCATCGCTGGGCAAAATATTTGATTTGTTTTTTCATTTTCATTTCGAGATAAATAAATAGAAAAAATTGTCTTTTTCGAGCGAAAAAGAAAATTCTTCTTGTTCTTTCTGGTTACTTACTACGGAAACGCTTATAAATAAATTTTAAGGTTCGAAGCGTTTTCGTTGCTTTCTGCCTTCCTTTCCTTCGAACTGAGCTCTAAATTGCTTCGGAAAGCTATAAGGAAAGTTCTGGAATGTTTGCAAGGTTCTAGGAAGTCGAGTTATGAGAAGTACGCCCTTCTTGTGGTATCGTTTACTTGGAGATGGAGTGTACCTGGTATGAATAAAACGAGCAGAAACAATAGGGCGTGATTGTCTTTTCTTTGAAGTTCTACCGTGGAAAAGTACTCACAAAGAGTGTTAATGCAACAACTACTGGCTTCCGTTCGCATCTGTAATGCAAATAGGTGTTGGGTAATGTGGTTTACTAGAATTTTGTGAAGATTGATGGAGACAATGTACCTGGGGAATTTCCATACTCACATAAGCATCAAATATTTGATATATTTTATGACTATTAAGATTTCCTATTGCAAAATTATTACGTTATGAGTATTTTTATGGAGCCATTGCAATCGGAAAGTTTAAAAAAAAAATGTAAAGATCATAGCAATGAAATTTTTAGCGTGTCTTATGCAGCACTTCCCCGTTGTAAGCTGCTAGATGCGTCGCAATCCTGTTATAATTCAACTAATATTGCTGTGATTGTTGTTTAAATCCCTCACAAATAAGGAGCTTATGGACAGAACTGTGAGTGGTCATTATCACTGTTCGTCAAGGATTTGTTTCAAAATTTCGCATATCAAGCATGCATTTATGAAGCATTTCCTATTTAATCATGCAGCTAAAAAAAGATCCGTAGACTATGCTAGAACAAATTGCCCTACGTTCTCTAAAGTTTAATTTAAAAAATAATAACGGTAAAAGTTATAAAAATAATAATAATAAAAGGTAAAAAATAATAAAATGATAAAATGAAATAATAACATAAATAAATAACAATAAATGTAATAATAAAATATTTAAATAATAAAAGGTAAATAATAATAATAATATTAATAATAAATAAGTAATAATAATAATAGAATTAATAAATAATAAATGAATAACAATAAGGGTAATAATAAATATTTAAATAATAAATAAAATAACATAATATTAATATTAATAATAATAATAATTTGATAAATAAAAATAATAAAATAATAACGTGATAAAGGCTAAAATAATTAAATAACAATAATAGTAGTAACATGTAATAATAAATATTTAAATAATATTATTTTATTAATATTAAAATATTTAAATAATAAATTAATAATAATTTGATAATTAAAATAATAAAAAGATAAAGGTTAAAATAATAAAATAAATAACAATAAATAAATAATAAATAATAATAATATAAATTTAAAAAAAAAAAATAAAAATAATCAGCTAAAAATGTCGGCGAATATTTCTAAGATAAACATGCTTACATTCTTACTAGTAATATTTTAGATGCTATATGCACCAATAAAATGTACTTTTACCACCTTAAGTTTTAGGTAGTTAATGTTCTTAAATAATTAATATACAAACTCTTCAAATTCTCTGTATCAAACACGACATTTCTGCTAAATTTAACGTGGTTGCCAATGACAGCTCTTCACGAATGTCAAAATCTTCTGTGATTGGTCTGCTTTTTTTTCTCTCTTATGCCAGACAAATTAACTCCAGCGTTTGAGGTGCCCTACGCCAAGATTTGTGAAGCTTTTCCAAGTGGGAACCATTCTCATAAAGTAGAAAGTTTTGAGGATCACCTTAATCTTATCTCTTTAGTAAGCAATTTTTTAGCACTTACTACCAGCAGTATACTTTTAAAATACAGTTAATTAAAATTAATTTAATTGTGCATTGGTCTTAAGTGTTTAAGTTAATATAAGAGAATTGATATTCATTTTTACTATTTCAAGGTTATTAGAGCTTGGATAATCTTTAGCTTATTAATTAAAAATTAAATAAATGTCGATTTTCACAATGATGAGTTTAATGAGCCTGTCGAGTCTTGCACAACTGTTCTGTGTTTGAATGTATGCTGGTAAGTCTGAGATCGACACATGTATCAAATCGATTTCTGTCTTTTATTTTTACTTGAGTTAATGATGAAAACCGTTTCTCTTACAGATGCATAGAATCAAATAGAGTTATAACGTTTAAAGCAGCACTGTGTAATTTGCTATATTCCATTTTCAGTGGTAATGAGGTCCAAATCATTTTAAATCCGTTTGTAGAGACATGATTTTTTTGAAGCCGAAGAGATGAAAAATTAGCAACCGCCTTCGCCGGGAATCGAACCACGGACCTCTGGAATACGTGAGAAGAACCACTACACCATGAAGGCACGCTAGAAAAGTGGGAGAAATACCCTATATACTCCCCTTTTTAAAGGAAGATTGTGGTTTTTTTTTAGGGGACCCAATCGCCAAATCCTGGGTGAGGAGAATCATCATCCAAACCCTTTTTGGTTCGGGCGCCACTGTAGAGACATTAGGTTAATTGGAAAAGCCGGAGAGATGAAAAATTAGCCTTCGCCGGGAATCGATCGGCCCACCTCTGGAATACCGGCCCAGCGTGCAGAACCGCTACACCACGAAGGCACGCTAGGAAAGTAGGAGAAATGCCTTATACGTTATCATTCATGACTTCAATAAACTGGGTTTATTTTTCGTTCAATAACAGTTTGTTATTTGTATCGCAATGGAAACGCAAAGCCGTGAAGAACCTAAAACAAGATTCGAATCTATGAAAATTCGTTATATTTATCACTTAAAATTTAAACTTCAAATTATGACTTTCGAGTTCCGAGACGCCAGTACACGTCATACCATAATTCATTTAGAAAAAGAATACTTACTAATAAAATCCGAATTTGGGAACAATGAGATTTTTTTCTATTTTAAACAATAGTCTAGAACCAAATTTCCTTTCAGTTCTCTTTATTTTCTCATGGGTATTGAAAACAGTCGAAAAGACACCTTGTAAGGTTTATCTTAAGTTTTTAAAGCTAATTTTGAGTTAAAGCCACTTTCCTATCCTTCTTAATTTCAGCTTAAAATTTCCTGCCAGAGCGTGTTTTCAGAATCGCGGTTAACTGCAAATGAAGAAATAGCAAGTATTTAAAGTTGAAGTTCTACTGACTTCGATAGAGAGCCAGAGATTCTGACCAGCGCGCGTTCGTCTTTTGGCTACTCTCTCTCTAAAGCTATTTCTACGCTCGGCCGTACTTTAGGCCTTTGATAGCTTCACCGATTAGTTAGCGTTAAGGGGACAACTCCTGTAAAATTGTAATAGCTATCTTTCTAGATCTCTTTAGTTAAGTTTTATTTCTTAGCATTCTTTTGTTCAAGCCCAAGTAAAGGCTGAGAGAGGACAGACTGTGAACTTTATTTGAACAATAGAGAGTAATTAACCCTTCGTGCGTTTACAGAGGCTGTTCGCACATTTTTTAGACGATTTTGGTAAGCGGTAATAAAAAATCGTTTGCTGCAAAAGAAGTAATTGCAAGTTTACTATGTTTTTAAAAGTCAAACTTATCGTCTGTGGCTTGAAAGTTTTGTTTTTATTCAAAATGGCGAATTTAACAAAGCAGTAGTTCGAAGTCTGCATTTACACTCTTTCCGAAGAGAAATATGCATACTCCGTTATCCAAAAACGATGCGAGAGTCATGGATTTGTGATATCTAAAGCGTCGATAGGTAATATCATCAACAAGAACGAAAAAAAACGTCAAATTGGAGACTCAAGTGGGACCAAAAATTCCAAACAAGTATCCAAGGAAAAAATGGACATCTTAGACTATTGCAAAGGTACGTTGTTTAATGTTAAAAGAAAATCCCCCTAGTCAAAAGACAGTATCAAAATCATTAAAATGCTCGGTGTCCACTGTAAACAAAATGATAAACGTTGATTTAAATCTTAAGAAAGCGAAAAAACGCAATGTGCCACGTCTTCTTCCAAAGCATATCGCTCGACGCAGGACACGCTGCAGAATTCTATATGAGAAACACTTATCCAAAGAAAAATGGAAAACAATTGTCACAATAGATGAAGCATGGGTGTATTTAAATGATTGTAACAAAAAAAGAGCCATTTATTATCATAAAAGGGGAGAAAAAATTTATGTACATGGTTCAAAGAATCGAAAGAAAGTTTTCTAAGGGATTCATGATTGTTGCTGGCTTTTCTTATAATGGCAAGTTAAAAATAAAAAGAGTGCAAAAAAATGTCAAGATTAACTCCAGATACTATCAGAAACATATTCTATCACCAATTTTTCTCCATGAGGATAAAGCTAGCAGTCACACATCAAAATCCACTGTTAATTTCCTAAAAAGAAATGGAACAAAAACCTGGTATCAAGGCCATACCCTTCACTGATATCCCTACTCAATCTCCCGATGTGTCACCTATGGATTTTTGTGCTTTCGGACTTTTAAAAACTGCATTATCCAAACGTTGTCCCAAAATCTTAACAGGACTCTGGAAAGCTGTTCGGGAGGAATAGGATAGAATACCTCTTCTGCCACTTCAAAAGGCATTATTATCCTGGAAATTGCGGTGTCGAAAGATAGTTCAGAATAAGGGATGTCAAATAGAACATTTAAAACACAAGAATTTTACGTAATTTAGTTTTGTGAATACAATATACATAGTCTAAAAAATGTGTGAACAGCCTCTGTACGTTTCTAGCTTTCTGAACTAAGCGATTATTCCCTTACCAGTTCTGAAGGTTCACACATTTAGCTGTCAATTCTAGGTTGGAACATTACAACCTTAAAGCCA